TCTGTCACCCAGGCTGGAGTGTAGTGGTGTGATCTTGGCTCACTGCAACCTCTACCTCCCTGGTTCAAGCAATTCCCCCACTTCAACCTCCCGTGCAGCTGGAAATACAGGTGTGCACCACCACGCCCAGCTAATTTTTTTCTTTATTCATTTTTAGTAGAGACGGGGTTTCACCATGTTGGTCAGGCTGGTCTCGAACTCTTGACCTCGTGATCTGCCCAATTTGGCCTCCCAAAGTGCTGGGATTACAGGCATGAGCCACCGTGCCCGGCCTACTCTAAGAGTAGGCTTTTATTTTTTCTTGAGGATTGCAGCCCATGATACACTTCTAAGTTGCCTTAGGGAGTGCTCCCCTAAGATTCTATATTCTAAACCATCCCAGGTTTCCTTGAACAGAGTATTTATAAATTTAAGTACGTTTTATAAGCTTGAATTAAACCTATATTGCAATTCTAGCAAAATGGTTTCCATGAAATGTGTGCCACCACGCCTGGCTAATTTTTTGTATTTGTAGTAGAGATGGGATTTCACCATATTAGCCAGGATGGTCTCCATCTCCTGACTTTGTGATCCACCCTCCTTGGCCTCCTAAAGTGCTGGGATTATAGGCGTGAGCCACTGTGCCTGGCCATAATTATAAATTTTTAAGTCAGACAGCATCTCCTTCCAACCCCTGGATTATTTTAGCCCCTGTTTTCCAGTAATGCTGTGTCCTTCTCGAGGCACAGCTACAAATACTATACATAATATAGTAGGTACTGATAAACCAAATGGTTTTAGAAAAGAGTCTATTAATATTTTATTTCCAGTAAATCTGTCTCAAGGTCCTCATTATTTCATTGGCCTTGTAGACAGCAGCAGCACACTAGACCTTAGGAATTAACAGCTTTTAAGCTGTGTTTTGAGCTGGGCATGGTGGCTCATGCCTGTGATCCCAGTACTTTGGGAGGCTAAGGCAGGAGGATTGCTTGAACCCAGGAGTCTGAGACCAGCCCAGGCAACAAGACAAAACATTATCTCCACAAAAAATATAAAAATTAGCTGGGTGTGATGGTGTGTGCCTGTATTCCTAGCTACTAGGGAGGCTAAGGTGGAATGATCACTTGAGCCCAGGAGGTTGAGGCTGCAGTGAGCCATGATTTTGCTGCTGCACTACAGGCTCAGTAACACAGCAAGACCCTATCTCAAAAAATAAAAAATATAAACTCTGTTTTGAGAAGCTCTAGTATTCTATGCTGCAGTTCCCAACCTTTCTGGCACCAGGGACCAGTTTCATGGAAGACAATTTTTCCACAGGTCTGGGTTGGGGGCTGGTGGAGATGGCATGATTTGGGGATGAAACTGTTCCACCTCAGATCATCAGGCATTAGATTCTCATAAGAAGCCGCAACCTAGAAATCCCTCGTACATGCAGTTCATGCTCCTATGAGAATCTATTGCGCACTGATCTGACAGAAGGTGGAGTTGAGGCAGTAAAACTCGCTCAGTGCAATTAGGCTCCTAACAGAACACTGACTGGTACCTATCTGCAGCCCTGGGGGGTTGGAGACCCCTGTTCTGTAGTAGAGAGGTTTGAAGAAACCCCTGTGGGGAAAGAGAGGAAGGAGGACTAATAAGAGGCTGATCAGACCGGGCGCGGTGGCTCACGCCTGTAATCCCAGCACTTTGGGAGGTCGAGGCCGGTGGATCACGAGGTCAAGAGATCAAGACCATCCTGGTCAACATGGTGAAACCCCGTCTCTACTAAAAATACAAAAAATTAGCTGGGCATGGCGGCGCATGCCTGTAATCCCAGATACTCAGGAGGCTGAGGCAGGAGAATTGCCTGAACCCGGGAGGCGGAGGTTGCGGTGAGCCGAGATCGCGCCATTGCACTCCAGCCTGGGTAACAAGAGCAAAACTCCGTCTCAAAAAAAAAAAAAAAAAAAAGAGGCTGATCAAAAGGGGTCCTGGTCAACATTTCCTTTTCAACTAGAGCTTTTTTATATTGGTGGTATTTAGCTGTCTCCATAGGAGGACCTATGAGACAGCAATCTTTTTTTTAATTTTTATTTATTTACTTAATTTTTGAGACGGAGTCTTGCTCTGTTGCCCAGGCTGCAGTGCAGTGGTGCAATCTCGGCTCCGTGCCACCTCTGCCTCCTAGGTTCAAGTGATTCTCCTGCCTCAGACTCCCAGTAGCTGCCATCATGCCCGGCTAATTTTTTGTGTTTTAAGTGGAGACGGGTTTCACCGTATTGGCCAGGATGGTCTCAATCTCCTAACCTCATGATCCGCCCACCTGGGCATCCCAAAGTGTTGGGATTACAGGCGTGAGCCACCGCACCCGGCCCAACAATCTTTTTAGAAGGGAGTGCTAGGAGATCAAAGACATGTGCAAAAGCGAGTATGCTGCTTTTACTTGTTCATTAATTTGAGGTGGTTTTGGAGAAGCAGATGGAGACAGGGGTAGGGGGAAACTAAAGACTCCAAGATAATCTTTGGTATAACTGCTTTATTTTCATCTGTTATGTAATAAATTTTTATATAAGATATGACTTTTTAAAAGATAGTATACAGGTTGAACTTTCCAAATCTTAAAATCTGAAATCCAAAATGCTCCAAATCTGAAACTTTGAGTGATGACATCAATGCTCAAAGGAAGTGCTCACTGGAATGATTCAAATTTCAGATTTTTTGATTTGGGATGCTCAACTAATACAATGAAAATACTCCAAAATATGAAAAAAAAATCCAAAATATTTGGCTCGTTTTGCAGTGGCTCATGCCTGTAATCCCAGCACCTTGGGAGGCTGAGGCAGGCAGACCACTTGAGCCCAGGAGTTCAAGACCAGCCTGGGCAATATGGAGAAATCCCAACTCTACAAAAAATGCTAAATTAGCCAGGCGTCGTAGTGTGCACCTGTGGCCATGGGTACTTGGGAGGCTGATGTAGGGGGACAGTTTGGGTCCAGGAGGTCAAGGCTGCAGTGAGTAGTGATGGCGTCACTATATTCTAGCCAGGGCAACAGAATGAGAACCTTAAAAAAAAAAAAAAAAAAAAAAAAAACCACCAAAATCAGAAACAGTTTTGGTCCCAAGCATTTTGGAAACTCCACCTGTAGTTGCTTTTAAAGTTTGGAAACTGCTAGGTGTGGTGGCTCATGCCTATAATCCCAGCACTCTGGAAGGCTGAGGGGGAGGATCACTTGAGCTCAAGAGTCGGAGGCCAGCCTGGCCAACATGGTGAAACCCCATCTCTACTAAAAATACAAAAATATGGGCATGGTGGCGCGCACCTGTAATCCCAGCTACTCAAGTGGCTGAGGCAGGAGAACAGCTTGAACCCAGGAGGCAGAGGTTGCAGTGAACTGAGATGATGCCACTGCATTCCAGTCTGGGTGACAGAGTGAGAGACCCTGTTTCAAAAAGAAAAAAAAAAAAGTTTGATTCTCAGGTTCCTAAGGAAAGTAAATGGTTCAGAACCCAAATAATGTATTGTTTATAAGAATCAATAGCTGCAGTCAAGAATAGTTTTCTTTAAAAATGTTAGTTTATCTACTTATTTAAAATAAAAAAGAGAAAGTAACAACACTTTGGACAAATATATTTCTGCCTGACTGGCAAAGTTAGTAAAAAGAAAACAAACTGCGTGGCTTAGAAGCTGGCCTGTCTATATCTGATGTAACTCCTTTATTTTCCAATGCTTCTTAGAATTTGGACTCCAGTGGTGCATGAGAAGACAAATGTGCTACACTGCCATGAATTTCAAATTAGGAGAACAAAATATCCATTCAAAAGTACAGTGTCATTTTGTTTATGTCTTTGGTTTATCTACTGAGGTTAGAAATGGAAGGAAATATAATTTGAATCCAAAATACCCAGAGGGAGAGTAAAATAAAAAATTCAGCTGTGGTATTTACTTTGGAAATGTACCAGCAATAGTAATAAAAAGTGGTTTCTCTTACTTTACCAAGGAGGACGGCCATTTTGTGACGCCATCTGCCTTTATTGAGAGAGGCAACTCTGATCCAAATATTTAACTGTGAGTTATAAATCCAGACATCACGGCTGTTGATTCTTCCACCTTTAAATGCAAAACAATGCACACACAATAACTTATCACGATATAGCTGTCACCAAGAGATCTATGCCACCAAGGCATAGGTAAAGATAACATGGCATTCATCTAATTCAAGAATTTGAGAATTCAGCTCAACAAGTAAAACAAAAACCTCTTGAAGTTTAATGGAAATAATTCTACAGAGTAAATTTAAACTTTGCCAATTGTTATCTTGGTAAGTGATAATTATAGATCCAAAATAATAAAATACAGGATGTGAATTTTATTATAAAAGATTGTTAATTTAAGAGTAAGAGTAACATAAAAGATTGTTAATTTAAGAGTAAGACATCAGAAGCACCCAAATAATGGTATTATTCTAAAAGTATTTTTTTTAAATCACCCATTTTTCAAAAAGCATATTATTATAAAGTATGTATTGTTATATTTATCAGTGTGTATAATATATATAATAATCTGCAAAGCTGATAAAATTATTTTACCAATTAATAGACTTCCCACCATAGATACTATAGTTATACTTTGTATAAGTCTGTCATTTTATTGTCTGCCTAATTTTAAAGGTAACATATGACATATCATAAATAAGTTCAAGTTAAGAATTTTAAAGCAAATCTTATTTCATAAACTTTGGGCAGAATTTCAGAAAACACGGGTGAATTAGAGATGCTTAATTCTATGAGTACTTCTGACTTTGCAAAGTAAAGAGGTAAAGTTTAAAAAATTATAGCATATTCTACACCCATTCAGAGCATTTAAAATGTGACATAATTAAAAGCATTTTCTGGTGGATGTTTTGTAAATCATTTTATGTCATCTTCTACCTTTTTTTATTTTTTTATTTTTTATTTTTTGAGACAGGGTCTCACTCTGTTGCCAGGCTGGAGTGCAGTGGCCCAATCTCGGCTCACTGCAACCTCCACCTCCTGGGTTCAAGCGATTCTCTTGCCTCAGCCTCCCAAGTAGCTGGGACTATAAGCACCCCTCACCATACCCGGCTAATTTTTGTATTTTTTAGTAGACCTGGGGTTTCACCATGTTGGCCAGGATGGTCTCCATCTCCTGACCTGGTGATCAGCCCACCTCGGCCTCCCAAAGTGCGGGGATTACAGGCATGAGCCACCGTGCCCAGCCTTGTACCTGTTTTTAAGAGCAAAAAGTCATTCTTGCTTTCATTTGTTATAAACTAATCTCCCTAAAGTGCAAGTATTCACATTCCACTATTTTAAGACACTGTCATTGTTTAAAATAACAAAGCTGTGTCCAAATTAAAAGTAGCTACTTTAATAATTACCTGAAACAAGAATGTCATTTCTTAGAGCACAGACTGCATACTCTGATTTGGTAAATTCTGGAAGCTTAGCCAACGACTTCCATTCTCCTGTTACAGGATCATAGCACTCAGTATATGGAAGATTAAATCCTCCAACTCGCTCACATCCTCCAACGACAACTATTACCTCAGAATAGCCAGTGGACCTAAAATAATAATTATTAGAGTACGGAAATAATATTACATTAAAATACACTCAAGATTTCTTCTTAAAACTCTAAAATCAAACCATATAATATTACAAACAGGGAAGTTTCTTCTCTGTGCATGTGCCAAACAGTACAGGCTGGAAATTACTTACTTTGAGAACATTTACAGTGGATCTAGTGATATCATTATTCTACAGAAAATTTCTATTGGTATTTTTTTCTATTGGTTTTGACCTGAAAATTGAAAAGCAGTCCTCTCTGATCTAATCCAATCAGAGCCCTGGTAATATTAGGGATGACTTTCAAATGCAGTTTTACAGTGATTCAGATATGCATAACCATACAAGGTAAAATAATGTATTTTTTCTAAATGTAGGAAAATTGATGCTTTTTCATCTGCTTGCTAATTCTAAAAAAACTAATTCATAGTATAATCCAACTATCCTTTAAATAAATAAGTATATGTACTTGTTCAGAAATTAATTTTTGGGCCGGGCGCGGTGGCTCAAGCCTGTAATCCCAGCACTGTGGGAGGCCGAGGCGGGTGGATCACGAGGTCAAGAGATCGAGACCATCCTGGTCAACATGGTGAAACCTCGTCTCTACTAAAAATACAAAAAATTAGCTGGGCATGGTGGCGTGTGCCTGTAATCCCAGCGACTCAGGAGGCTGAGGCAGGAGAATTGCCTGAACCCGGGAGGCGGAGGTTGCGGTGAGCCGAGATCGCGCCATTGCACTCCAGCCTGGGTAACAAGAGCGAAACTCCGTCTCAAAAAAAACAAAAAAAAAAAAAAAAAAGAAATTAATTTTTAAAATACCAAGTCAAGTAAATTAAGGTAATCCAACTCAAATGTTGGACAGTCACTAAAAAGACTAACAGAGTTTATAACAAAGAATGTTAAAGGAGAAAAGCAAGATGAAAAATCGTACATTAGGTATGTTCAATACTGTCTAAAAAACGTGTCCAGAAAGAATACACCAAAATGTTAAAGATAGTTGTCTCTGAATTGTGTGGCTCCCCCATTTCTATCATTTCCAAACCAATAATGAGCCTGAGCTATTTTTAGAATGCAAAACAGCTTTTAACACCACTAAAGGAATTCTAATGTTTAGGTTAATCACTGGCTTCTCTGATTTTGTAGTTCAAATTTAAAATAAGAGACAGGAATAACCAAAAGCTTATCCACAATTTTTTTGTTTGTTTACAATGTTCAATTGATAGTTTAGGAATTTTAAAATTCTTTAGCTTTTATATTTTTCACAAACACAATCTAAATATTTTATAGTTACAGCTTATGGTTGCTACAAGTCAAGTCTCACAAAGAAAAATGCCAATGATCCTTCTTCTCTTACTTAAATATAGAGGGAAAAAAAACCCACATCAGGACAGTGATTTGTAGTTTTAGTCTGTGTGCTGTTACGCAATTACAGTAGGAAAAAACAAGCAATACTGGTCATGTCTCTTTTAACAGAGTTATTTTAGCTACATTTACTCAGAGCTATGTCAACTAACTGAATTGTTTACCTATTCTATACCAGGCATACTTTTTTCATTATAAAAACAGAAATACATTTGGGAGAAAAGAATTTTCTCCATACATGCAATAAAAACTACTTTTAGGAATCCAGGAAATTATGTAACTTTTACCTAGTATTTAGTAAAACATTAACAGAAGGACCTAAATGTTATCAGTAATATTGACTATTTTCCAAGTAATTCCAAAATAAAAATATTAAAAATAAAGAAGAGCACAGCCCCAGATACTTTAGTAGTATAACTACTGACTTATCATTTTTTCCATAGAAGTATCATTTCTTAAGACACACTTAAAATCTAAGACAAATCCTCAAAAAAGGTGGTAATCCTCAAAGTCTTACTTTTTGATCAATCAAAACAAACATTGCTAGTCACTGAAGTTGAATCACTTCTAACTGTCCTAACATAAAATCCAGAGTAATGATTATATATCGTAGGATTCTGTTTTATCCTATCCTTATTGCACTTTACGTGTTTTATACTTTCCCTTTGCTTGAACGTGCTTGCCTTTTTCAAGGCTTCTTAACCCAACAGACATAGATTATCTGTTTTTGTACTTTGAAACAGAAAGGGAAAACAGCACGAAAAGCTAATTGCTAGGACATTTAGTCCCAATAAATAAAGGGTAACTTCAATGTCTACTAGAACGTGAATTTATCTGAAAGAATTAGCAAGCTGGCAGTTTTGCCTGTATTAAATATCCTATTTGCAACCAAATGGCTTTTAGCTTAATTAGATATATCTGATATTCTCATCAGATAAAAGCACTATTTCTTGAGCTTGGAGAAATACTTATCTCAGGTAGAGAGCTGATGGCCTTAAAGGAAATATGTTACTCCAGCTGATAAGGGCAAGTAAAACAAAATGGCAGGAAGATGCTAGTGCAGCATAAACAAAATGCTGGATACCCATGTAATCTACTTCCAGAGTGAATGTCATGTCCCTCTACTTCATTAATTCCTTTTTTTTTTTTAATAGAGACAGGGTCTTACTCTGTTGCCAAGGCTGGAGTGCAGTGGTAAGATCATGGCTCACTGCAACTCCAACTCCTGGCTGCAGTGATTCTCTCACCTCAGCCTCCCAAGTAGTTGGGACTACAGGCGCATGCCACCACATCCAGTGAATTACATTTAATCCAGTGAATTAATTTTTTTTTTTTTTTTTTGTAGAGACAGGGTCTCACAATGTTGCCGAGGCTGGTCTCAAACTGATGCACTCAAGCCATTCTCCTGCCTTGGCCACACAAAGCACGAAGATTACAGGCATGAGTCACCGTGCCCAGCTTCATTAATTCTTTAGGAAAACTGATTTTCTGCTATGATGCAATAATAATTATTTGTTACTTTAGTATTAATTCTCACCATTTGCTTCTATTAAAGTGTGAGAACCAAATTATCCTTTTTACAATGGTAATACATTTTTTAAAAAATCATCTTCTATTATCATTAGAGAAAATACCAAATTAAAAGTTCATAGTCTTTTATTCATGTTAAAGATAAAATAATTATAAATCCACAGGATAGGGCTGGGCACAGTGGCTCACGCCTGTAATCCCAGCACTTTGGAGGCCGAGGTGGGCAGATCATGAGGTCAAGAGTTCGACATCAGCCTGGCCAACCTGGTGAACCCTTGTCTCTACTAAGAATACAAAAATTAGCCCGGCATGGTGGTGGGTGCCTCTAATCACAGCTACTTGGGAGGCTGAGGCAGGAGAATTGCTTGAACCCAGGAGGTGGAGGTTGCAGTGAACTGAGATTGCGCCACTGCAGTCCAACCTGGGTGACAGAGCAAGACTCCATCTAAAAAAAAAATCCACAGGATTTTCTAAACCAAATTTTAAAATGTAATAATTAGTGGATTTAGTTTAAAAATCTCAAAAGGTGAAATCAAGGAATTGCTGGCTGAAATAACAGATCTACTTATAGTTAATGCCAAATATGCTAGACATGTGGACAGCGACAAAAAGAAAAAAAGGGTTGAAAAGTGATCGTGGCTAATGAGAACATCTGATATATATTTTAAAACATATACAAAAGGAAAGGAAGTGTTTCATGCAGTAAGAAATTGGAAAGGAGAAGGGAGAGATATTATTGATAGTCTGTTCACCATTCTAAAACCCAGAAATACCTGAAAATGAAACCATCAAACCAAAATAATGAACTAAAATAGACATGAGACTTTAAGCCTTCAAGAGACAGAATGGTTCTCTAGTCTGTAAGACATGCCAGTTACCAAACACAATGTATTAATTTAGCTAAAGAAGAAACTATGTATCAAAAGAAGGGATTGGTCAGTTGTAGAAGCAATAAATAAATGAAGAAGTCAATCAAAGAGTAGATGATAACCATAGAGGCAAACATTTGCTGTGCCCATTCAAGTTCTTATCTAAGGGAGAGACAATCCAAGCTAGGCTACCTTGAATATTATTGGTTTTTTGACAGGAGTATTTTCATGGTGGGTGAGACTTCCTCAAACTATACTAGCTGAGGGACTTCAGTAAACTCTGTTTGAATTCCATGCTTGCCAAATGACCTTTGAAAACTTTGGCTTCCCATGTAGTGACTTGTCCATAGTAAGAGAATATCACTGGGAAGATTGACTTAAAATATATAGCCTGCTTGTTAATTCCATTTCTTACTGCAAACAGATATATATAGACTAGGAGATGAGTTAACGGGTCTGTCATACTTAATGTTAAATCTGCCTCTAATAGTCTGATCCAGTCTTATTGTATAAAAAGAAAAAGTTCCTGAGCCTAGAGGAATCACCAGATCATGGTGAATTTACCAATATAAGTGACCCCCTTAGATGCTTGTACCAGCCACAAGCCTTAGAGCTTTTAACCTTGGTGAGGACACAGGTATCAATTTGTGTGGTAAGGCTTCCACCTGAAGCTGTAGTGGGTGGGACCGCTTCTATAAGAAAATGAGTGTACTGACCAAAAGACTCAAATGCCAACTTTTCAAATTAGCAATTATGTAAGAATGTATCATCAGAAACTAATCATAGACATGCTGAAATATGTAGCCACAAAGATGCTCATCTTACTTAATGGTAAAAACTTAAAAACAAATGTTGGAGTGGGTGGGTTACAGAATATTGTAGTAGACTTCATGTCATGGAAAGACATTTACTACATAGTAACCAGTAAAAAGAGTCTATATAGATTACAACCCCGTAAATAAAATAATAAATTCACATAGAAAAAAAGAATATACTTTGGTAGGCTAAAACAGGAGGAGGATCGCTTGAGCCAAGGGGTTTGAGACCAGCCTGAGTGACAGAGTGAGATCCTGTCTCTATAAAAAATACAAAAATTAGTCAGGCATGGTGGTGTGTGCCTATAGACCCGGTTACTCAGGAGGCGGGGGTGGAAAAATGCTGGAGCCAGGGAGGTCTAAGCTGCAATGAGCCATGATGGCGCCACTGCACTCTAGCCTGGGTAACAGAGGTAGACCCT